TGGGTAGGGTTATTTGATTTTATTTAGCTCTGAATTTGAGAAACCTATTTTCTGATGCTGAATTCAAGCAGTATTTAAGAAAAAAATTGGGAAAATTACTACTATTGGACGGTGCTGATCTAGCCCAAAGAAACCTCTAATTCTCATTTTTCTATTAACAGATCCACACCAGCAGCAATTAATTTTTGATGACTCTGTCAATGATGTGTCCTTGATAACATTGCCAAATGGCTTGTATCGTCTAGCACACTAAGGGGGGGGACAAAACCAATTTGCCCTCACCCGTCAGTTGACATCACTCATTCATTCCTCCAGTCTGTGGTTTAAGGTCCATTTAGTTTTCACAGGAAAATTAAGTACAATGATCATAATTTCTCTCTTCAGCCATGTAGTCCATTTCGTATTCAAGCTCAAGAAATAAATATGTTATAACGTTGTGTTGGTTCAAAGGATGTGACATTTAATTTGCAAGTAGGTAATGTCTTTCATAATCCTAAAACATAAATGTATGGGTAATAATTGTGGCAGAATTAAGAGGCTGAAATTTTAGTCTGCTGATGTTTTCTTTTAAGTAATTGTGATGGCATTTTTTCATTTTGTAATGTGTTTTTAGGAGTGAAGGAAGTTGAATTTTTGTGACTGCGCCTTCATTTCTAATCTCTTTGTGAATGAAAAGCTATATACAGGCACAAATCCAGCAGCTTAATTCTCCATCTGATTAGAGCAATGTTACCAACCTGATAGGTTGAAAACAGCCAAGATCCATGCAGTGGCTTAACCTCCTGGGAGGCAGAGCAATAACAATCAAATGAAGACATATTAAAATGTAATATTACTTCCTCTCCATGGGGACTGTATAAGAATCATAGCCAGGAACTATTCTTGTCAGCTGACTCTGCTTCGCTCACTGATTCCCTGCCCCTGCATTTATGACTAATGGATTTCATACAATAAACAACACTTGTGAAGTTTTAAAAGCAAATAAATGTAAGACATCATACATTGATTTACATGAGTTCCAATTTTTACTTTTTTTTTTTCATTTAAATAATTTATATATTTTGGAGAAGGGAAGGCAGAGCTGGAATGGAATTCTTCGGTCTGAATGAATTCATTCTCTCTCATATAAGTGAGATGGTATATTGGGCAGTGTTTTACGAAACTGAAAATGCATACTTGCTCCTCCAAAGTGAGTATGTATCAGCAGACTCTTAAGCATGATTTCGTAAGAGGTCAGTTTTTCTGAAAGTTTTAAACCCAAACTTAGGTTCTTTATAAAATGGCAGCTGCTGTTGTATTCAATGAATGCAGACACACAGTGTTTACAGCTTGAACAGAATGTTTGACTGACTGCTGCAAACGTTGCCTATAAATTAGTATGATTTTGTCAGAAAGTCTTAAAATCAATAGATTTTAGGGCAATTATGTATGTTTATTTGTAGATGCGGATAAACTGCTGACTGAATAATTTAGTGCGCTTTTGACTGTAAGTAGGAGTTTCACAGTTGACACCAGCAGAACAGGACGGGTCTCAGAAAATCAGAGGGACCTATCCATCAAAAAGATTTGAAAATGTTTTGCTACCCGTGTAGCAACATTGTACTTGCTTTTAGTTTCCTATGTCTTGCTGTATTAATAAAAAACAAAGTGTGGGATCCTGAGAACATTTAATACTCATGAGAAACTTTCTATTAATCATTAATTATGTTTATTAATGTTACTATTTAGGTAGTATCTAGTCATCTTAACACAGGGCATTTCGTGTGTGAGTAATTGTCTCTAAAATATATCCATATTTAGACCTAAATATAAAAAAACCCAAACCGGTTCTTTTATATATATGTGTGTATATATATGTATATAAAAATAAACTGGATGGAAGGTCTAAAATTTGATCACATAAACACACCGGAGAGTAGCGTTTCCATTTTAGATGTAAGGAATTTGTGTTACGTTTCTGTGTCTATACCCAAACCTCTTTTTTCTCTGGAAATATCCTTTCAGCGTGAGCAGAGCTCCAGGTACCAGGGTCACTTTCCTGCAGAAGTGTGAGTGCGGTGGAGGAGCTTACATGATAGCGGGTATAATTTTCATTTGGAGATCAATATAGAAAGGCAGTGGCAAGCGTTTGAGGAATATTTTGTACCGCACCCCTGTTTGACTTCTGCACGCTAAACTGTCAAGGGGCATTAGCAGTATGGAACTCCGTTTTCTCTGATGTCCCAGATTACTTCTTTTTCTCCGTGCTGCTTTTCAAAGCTTGAAACGATGTGTTTAAAACTACCCACTTTCTTCCTGGTACACTAGGGATATGTGAGGTTATATTTCAGTAGTCTTAATGAATTTTGAAAAATAATTTCCTCCAGTGGCCTTGGGTAATTGTCAGTTTAATTACAGGGAGAAGCTGAGATGGAAACTTTGCTTTGTCACTGAAATGCTCCTCTTTCTTTGAAAATTCTCTGTTCCTCAGGACGTAGCAGTCTTGTCTCTGAGCTATAACGTAGGCTTTCCGAAAACCCCTTGAAGAACTGTGGAAAAAGTGAATACTCCTGCAAATTCATTCATCTGACATCAAAGCTGTGAAAGCATTCTTTTAGCAGGCAAGCGAGGCAGATTGTGCTCGCGTAGGCACACAACCAGACTCATTGTACATATGGGCCTTCCCGTTTGGAGACTGTATTTGAAGTAATTTTGCATTCTTTTTGCTGTCTTTCTTACTTTCTTATTCTCTACTGAGGTCAGACTGCATCCTCTGCATCTTATTGAGGTCTCCTGCTCTGTGGGTTAAATGGATAGGCCTTTAATGAATAAAAAGGCATTGATGTTCAGAAGCAGCAGCACTCTATTTCATTAAAATCAAGCAGAAGGTGTTTAAGGAGATGGGAGCCCCCATCGCCTCAATTAAAAAACAAACGAAGAATAACAAAAACCGCAAGACAAAGTCAGTGTTTATTAGTTGTACTTTCAGTTGATGCTCAGCTTTGGTATTTCTATTTACTGCTTTTTTTCCCTTGTCCTTGTGCTGGTACATTGGCAAATAGGTCATAAAAAACACTTTCAGCAAAGACACATTTGATTTATGTCCAGAACTGGTTCTTAGTATTGATTTTTTTTCCCTCTGGAAAAAAACAAAAGAAAACAAAACTATATGTCTCCATTATTTTCTGAGCCTGGCAATGCAGTGGCAGATTTCAGATTGGCTTTTATCTTAAATTACTCATTGTGCTCTTTTATATTTTAAAAAGTCTTTTTTGCAAGTTGGAAAAAAAAAGTAGTTGCACGTATGACCATTGTCATGTTTTTACAGGGGGGAGGGAACAAGAGGAGGAACTGGGAGGGACCACATATGAGGAGAAGGGAATTTTAGGAAAAGAAAGCACAATTTGGGAAGTTTGTATGGTGCCTGTAATTTGAGTTAGTCACAAAAGAGGCAGAAGTGGAACAAAAAACACGAAGTAGATCAAAGGCTAGGAAGCAGGGTTCAGCA